GGCTGAGCTCACACTCAGCTGAGAGTCGGGTGGTGCAGGTCTCTCCATCCCAACTTTCCGAGCGGCTTCAGTTCTGCCCCATTATCACAGCCAACAGCCCTGAAAGATCAGGTGGGAGGAGGGAATCCACCACGGTGACCTCCGCTCCCATCCAGGCCTTCCTTGCGGGCCCTCAGCAGCCTCCTCCGAGCACTCAGGCCTCTGCAGACCCAGGGACTTAGCGTCAAGCATGCCTGCCCCATTGCTGGAGTGGCCGGGGACAGCATCGCTTATGACATCAGTGCCAACTGGGACTGAAGGTTACGAGTGGAGGCCTCGTTCTCACCTCGTTCTCTGTGGAGAAGTCCCTTTTCAGCTTCCCCAGCACAGGGAACCTCATGCCTGTGGGCTCAGGAAGGAGAACGTTTTGGCCAGTCAAGGGCAGTCTCCTGGGGGGCCTGAAACAGCCAGTCCCTAAAGCATAAACAAGACTCAGTTCTGTGGACAGGAGAGGAGGGGGAATTCCAGGCTGGGGGCAGCTTACACAGCCCGCAGGCAGGAAAGCGTGGAGGCAGCAAGGACACCTGGCTGGCCGAGCAGTGTTGAGCTAAAGGAAGGTGGGGCCAGGCACCAGGGGCTTGGGAAGATGGCTTTGGGGTGGGGGCAGGTCTTGGGGGAAGTGGGCCTGGGTCCCTGACTGTGGGAAAGCTTGGGGCTGGGAAACCTGGGAGGCAGGAGTCCCAACTTGGAGACGTTTGAAACTGTCCAAGACTGGAGAGGTCGCAGCAAGTATGGAGAGGGTGCGAGAGGACAGGAAAGGGGGCCTGGCTGATGGCTGATGGCTCACTGGGAGTAGACCCCTCCCGAGGCCTAGCAGAGGAACCCGGAGGGTGCTGGTGTTGGAGGGAGGAGGTGCGGCACTGGCAGCAGCAGGAGGGGGTGTCCGGTAGATCCGCCCACTAGACCTGGGAAGCCTGAGCCAGAGGCCCCGGTGCCCAAGCAGGGCTGAGGCGGGAGGTAAGCCCACTCTACAACTGGAGAAACCAGGGCTAGGAGAACGCCCCAGGCACCGAGCGCCAGTGGTGGAGCTGGTGTTCCAGACCAGGCGGTTCTCCCAGCCCGGGTCGCAAACGCAGCATGGAGTCCAGGCTGAGGGGGGAGTCGTCATGGGAGATGAGGAGGAAATCCGAGTGGCTGGAAAACCACGAGAGGGCTTTGTCCTGGAACAGGGAGGGGGAAGAAGATGGAATCTCCATCGGGGCGGTGCAGTGCAGGGCGGGGAGTCAGAGGGCCCTGCTCACTGTGCGTGCGGATGAGACCCCAGGACCACCCAAGCTGTTCGCCACCAAGCCTTGTCAGAGCCCAAAGGTCACCGTGTTCTTTGGAGCCGAGGCCGGAGCACACGAGTGGGAGGAATTAGAGCCACTCTTGTTTGGAGTGGCCGTCACGAGGCTCATGAGGCAGCCACCCAGCCCCCTCACCGCCCTCCGTGTCTTTGTCTGGCTGCCCAGGCCTACATGAACTTTGTCTACAAAAGCACCGAGGGCTGGAGCATTGGCAACGTGCTTCTGGACTTCACTGGGGGCTGCTTCAGCCTCCTCCAGATGTTCCTCCAGTCCTACAACAATGGTGAGTCTATCGGCGGTGGGCCGGGCCAGCCCCACCCCCCAAGCCTGCCCCACGGCTTGGGAATCCAAGCAGTCCCCGCCCCTAGGTCCCCCCAGGGGCATCTGCAAGGGTAGGGTTGGTGGTTTCCTGGACAGGTGAGGACCCCCACCCTCCACAGCCCCGGGAGCTGCCAGCCTAAAACCGGATTCTGTCCCCTCTGGCTAACAGACCACTGGACGCTGGTCTTTGGAGACCCAACCAAGTTTGGACTCGGCCTCTTCTCCATCTTCTTCGACATTGTCTTCTTCATCCAGCACTTCTGCTTGTACAGAAGGAAACCCGGGTATGAGCAGGTGAACTAGCACCCAGGGCACCAGTGTCAGTGGCCTGGGCCCTGTGCCCAACCAGGAGGCTGGAGAGCGGCCTGGAGTGCAGGGCTGGCTGGGTGTGCAACATTGGAGAAGCGTTCTCTTCCTCAGGGGCCAGCACCTTAAACGTGAACCAGCCTGCCTTCGTCCAGGACTTTCCAGGGCCGGGGAGAAACCTCCCTCTGAGACAGACGCCTGACTCTGCTCCGAGATTAGAAGGCTGGCCGCTGGCGGCCCCTCGGGTCTACTGGCCAGCCACCTGGCCCCCCTGCGACTTGATGCTGCCATTTCTATTTTCTTTAAGGCTTCAGGCAGCACCCACAGGTTCTGAGAGCCGTGCCAAGCAGGACTGGACGCGGAGCTGGGAGCAGGCCTTGCCTCAAGCAACCAGTGTTTCTGGGAGCAGCTTGAAGGACTGAACTTGCAGCTTTGGTGCCACTGCTGTTCCCAGAGACCAAGCAGCCAGGTGCTGTGGCCAGTGGACTGAGGGGTGCTGTGCTGGTGGCAGAGGGGCTGGGACTTTGGGGTTAGGCCTTGGGGTCCCTTCTCTGAGTCTGAACACCCTTCCTGACACCTATTCTACATAACCCAGCTTCCACGACTGCAGGGGGCCCAGGCCAGCGCCTAGTAAACAAACAGTATTTCTGGGTCTTAAGGTGCCCAGCACCCTGTGGTTCTGAACTGGGCTCACTCCCAACACCCCGTGGCTCTTTATCACACTAACACCCCTTTTGGCTTTTTGGGAGGGATGTTTTGAAAGTGAGTGGCTGTCTGCCTACCTCCACTTTCCAGTCAGGGGCCCACGTGAAACCTCAGCTGCTCCTTCCCCCGTGTCTGGCAGGACACACCACACACACACACACACACACACACACACACACACTCACACACACACACACACACTCACACTCACTCCGTGCCTTAGAGGCCTGTTGGACCCGCCAAATGGTGAGCTCCCCTGGAGGAGGGCAGGCCTGCCTCCCCTCACTTCCCCCAGACCTGAGACTCGCCAATTTTGGGCTGTTCAGTAGCCTCGGAGAAGGACTTGAGACCACCTCACATAAGACCCATGGGCCAACCCTGATCCCAAATCCCCTTCCCTCCAAACCCAACCAGTTGACACCAGATTGCAGCCTCTGGAAACATGCCTTGTACGTGCCTTGAGATTGTCTAGCCACTCCAACTTTTTACTACAAGTTCAACAAGCAGCCTGTATCCTGGATTAAAACCCGTTTCCTTTTGTGCACCGAGCATTTGCCAGATGCAGGAGGCAGGTGTGTTGGCTTCAGAACCAAGTCCTTGGGGCTTAGGGAGATGGCCTCCCAAGGTGACCGCGTGCCGACCTAGCACTTCATCAGGGGACCCCGCTTGGGTAGTGCCAGACGCCTGCCTGCTCAGGGCCAGGTAGGTCCCACGGTCCCACGCCTGCATTCCCAGGGGCACGCTGCTCAAGCTGTGGTGGTGAGCAGGGGTTGGGTGAGGTCTTAAAGGGCACACCACCACTGGGAGTGGAGGGATGTCTGATCTTTCCAGATTCTTCATCAATCTAGGTGTAAAACTACCAAGTAATTTAGGCTCCTGTTTCCCCAAAGCAGAGATTGCAGCCTGACCAAGTATGCACACCTGTTTTATTTGGGCCACCCAGTATGGTACCAGGTGCCACACTTTAAAAGTGGGAGATTTCAAAAATCTGATTTGTCAGTGGGTCCATGAGTGGCAACAATTCCCAGAGCTGGTAATGCAGCCCATGGTGGGCCAGCCGGAGGCCTGGAGGGCTCCAGTCACCCCATTTTGCCAGGTGGCAGCCTCTGGAAACGTTTGGGGTTGCATCCCTGGCTGTGATCAACTGAGTGCTCTTAAGAGCCTTAGGGGGAGGGTATTTTCCCCATGAACCCCTTGGTCTCCATGAGGCTCCTGGGTGGGGACTGAGACCCGATTCACAAGGGAAGTTGGGTGAAGGTGGATGTGGCCAGGCCAAGCCCATGTCCCGTGGGCCTAGGAACAGTGGGGCTTCTTCCCAGAGCAGCCAGGGCCAGGGTCGCCAACCTTACAAACAAAGCTGTCCTGTAATCCACCCCCAGTACCCCAGCCCTGCCTGCACCTTAGCACAGACCCGTGAATCCCAGCTCTGTTTATTGGGCACAAGGTGTGTGTGGGGGGGAGGGAGGGTGTCATACTGCCCCATTTCCACAGTAACCAAAATAAGGTTTTCTAATTTGCTGAGTCATTCCCAGATTGAATTAGTAAGCTAAATTCAAAGTAGAACTGGCATCTCCAAATAGTAAGATAAAACCCCTTTGTATCAAAGTGATTAAAAAAGTACAAACGTTAAACAGACAGGCATAGAGGAGATTTGCAATCTTGAAAAATGCCCTCAAAAGTCAGCCTCAAAACCTCATCTAAATCTGGTAAGCTGGTGAACCCTGGAAGGCTAGCACCCCTCGGAGGAGTGGGGAGCGATGGGTGCACTGAGCCCGCTGGCTTCCATGCTGGCAGACTTCTGCCTCTGCAGTGTCGAATCCCCTCTGAGCAACGGGAATGCGTCGGACACAGGCACTTTGGCGCTGAGACAGAGGGCAGGGCTGGCCCACCAGGCGTTGTTCTGCTTTGCGGCCGCTCTCAGGAAGTGGGGGCCCTGCTCCCCTGGGCATTGCTGAGACCTGGCAGCAGGGTCTGGGGAATGAACTGGTGGTCACTACAAACTGACTACAACTCAACTCCAGGCCATTGTTTCCAGTCCTCGGTGTCCAAGGGAGGGCTGGTCCCAGAGCCTCAGGCCACTGCTGAGAGGGGAAGGCAGGCCAGCCAGGCCTCTGGGACCAGCTCTTGCCCTTCGGAGTGGGGGCCCAGCACTCAGCAGGAGCCAGGACGAGGGGCAGACTGTGGAAGTAGTGTCACTGTACAAGGAGGCGGCAGGCACGCGTCGGGACCTCGGCGGGCTGCTAGGACAGCATGGACTGCTGCACGGCCTTCTGCAGCGACTGCCGCGTCACCAGCAGGCGCACCACCTCCTCCGAGCGCTTGGTGAGCCGCTTCCGGGCCTGGTCGTGTGTGACCATGGTCATGTCCCAGCCGTTCACCTGACCCAGGGAGAAAATACAGCCACCTGAGCTCCCCACCCTATGGGATCTGGAAGTAGGATGGGCTCTGGGGAGCCTGGGTTACCCAAGCAGGCCCCGAGCAGGTGACCCCTGGATAGGGGATGCCAAGCACTCGGGTAGCCTCTGGCCACACACAGAAGAGAGCCAGCTTCCTCTGGGCAAGGCCAGCGTGGGTTCCAAAATGGCTGGGATGAGTCTCCCAGGAGGCAGGGGCAGCCTCAGCCTCACCCCCACATGCTTCAGCCCCTCCAACCCAAGCCTTGTATTCCTCCGTTGGCACTTCTGTTACCTGCATGATCTTGTCTCCAATCTGTAGCCCAGCAATTTCAGCAGGGCCTCCTTCCGATACCCGTGTGACATAAATGCCCTGGAAACAGACAGCCCACGTCAAGCCCTGAGTTCACTGGACTGGCCCCTTATCCACAGAGCCAAGTCCAGTAGGCATACACCCAGCTGTCCAGCTGTCTATCCCTGCACTGAGCCTCCCTCCAGCCCCCACCCCCAGGCACAGGCTGTGCCAAGACAGCCAAGGGGACAGCTGGCTGCCCAGGGATGCTCCAGCCCCTGCTGCTCCTGGGCTCTGTCTAAACGGGCCTTCCTAGGGCTGGGCAGCCCACTCCTCACCCCTACCCCTATTTATTCCCACCAGATCACATCTGAGACCTTCTTAGAGGGACTGCTGGCGAGAGACTAGGTCCACTCCTTCCCAAAAGGCTCAGGAAGCAGAGATCCACCATCTCAGGCCTCCGCTGCACGGAGAGGCCCCAGGACTCTGGTCCTCACCTTATCCGTCTTGTCTTCTGAGAAAGGATTCTGGGAGGGATCCTGGTCAATTCCACCTCCAATGCTGAAGCCCAGGATTAAATTCTCACCTTGACGCAGCTTATGAATTTCAACTCTTTGCTGGCAAAGAAAAGAATGAGTTGGGGGTGAGTAGAGAACAAATCTGGTCTGTATCTCCCGCACCCGCCCCAGGCTGCTGGAACAGCTCAGCCATGCCAGGAGGGTGGGGACCAGGGCCCTCTGCAGAAATCCAGCTGGTCACCAGCCTGGGAGGCTGGGGGTGTTGAGGCTCGACTCAGCCACATCAACTCTCCCACATCACACTCTGCCCCAACCTCTCTCCCCTTCTTCTGTCTCAGGCATCAGCCTTAGTCAACAGGTGCTCTAAGCCCCAGTTGCTATGGTTGCTACGGATCGGGGTCTGTATCCCAAGGGAGGGATCACTCAGGGCAGAAGGGGTCAGGCCCTAAAAAAACTGCAGGCAGATTGCCGAGGCAGCCCAGGTAAGGGCAAGACAGAGGATGCTCAGGAAAAGTGGAGATCAAACTCACACAGAAAGGAGAGGAGGGGCTGTCCTGGCCAAGGGAATAGGAGCAGCGGCTTGAAGGTGCCCTACATAAAGGTCCATGAAACCAGGGTGTACAGCGCAGGACCGGAACTGGGAGGTGAGAAGAGGCTAAGAGGCTGGGGCCAGACAGGAAGGCCCTGGAGACTGGGCCCCAGGGAGGGGTCTTTTCCCTCAGCCCCAGGCCCTGCTCTTGTGTAGTGGAGGAGGTGGAGGAGAGTCCTAGTGTTCTCCTACCATATCTGGGGCTATGGTCCCCAACTGTGCCAGGCTCCTTTCACAGTCCTCAGCAGACATGCTCCAGTCACCAAATACTAGAATCAGATCAGATCACACCACTCCAAAAGGTGACTCGATCTGGACCTGAGGGAGTGACCAGGTCACTGTGATCTGATCTTCATTCTGGGCCCACTGGAGCACTCGAGAGTTGGGAAGTAGGGCCGGTTGTGATCGGGTTAGATGCTAGAATGACCACTTGGGTAGTAGGGAATGGATTCCTCTTAGAGGTGGGATGTAGAGGCCAGGGGACATGCACTACTTGTAAAGTGACATCAGCAGGCTTGAGGGCTGTTCTTGGCACAGAGGAGTCAAGAGGAGCCTCTGGCCACCTGGCCTGGCTGAATACAACCATTCATGTTGAGTTTGAGTGCCAGGAGCCATTCAGGCAGGTATCCAGAAGGCAGATGGGCCAAGGAGCCAGAGTTCCCAGGGGCCAAAATGGTTTCAATATTCTCAAGATGTTAACTACACCCGGCCAGCGTGGCTCAGTGGTTGAGCATCGACCTATGAACCAGGAGGTCAGGGTTCCATTCCCAGTCAGGGTACATGCCCGGGTTGTGGGCTCGATCCCCAGTGTGGGGTGTGCGGCAGGCAGCCAATCAAGGATTCTCTCTCATCATTGATGTTTCTATCTCGCTCTCCCTTTCCTTCCTCTCTGAAATCAAAAATATATTTTTAAAAAAAAGATAACTACATGGAAGATGACAAGGGCGAGGGAGGAAGCCTCTCCCACCCATCCCTAGTCAAACACATGAGAGGCCAAACCCCACCCACCATGTTCAGACATGTGTTAGAAGAATTGGGAGGTCACGGTCCTACAGCTTGGAGGAAGGCCCAGGGACCAGCCATGACATGTTAGAGGGGGGAGCAAGACAAGAGCATAACCCCTGAGGCCCACCAGGCCTAGATCCTCATGCCCTAGGTCCTCCAGGCCTGCCCCAATACATACCTTTGACCCAACTTCAAGGTACAGAAGTAGGGGGGGAAAAAAGTACAGGCCCTGTCACTGAGTTGGGTGAAATCAGGCTGGTTACTGTCACCCCTTTTTTTCCAGGTGAGGAGCAAGCCTGGCCCCTCCTCCTCTCTGGGCAGCGAGGGATCTGGAAGTCAGGCTGGTGTATGTAGCAGGCTGAAGGTTAGGGTGGCTTGGCAAGCCCGGCAATGTTCCCTCCTGGCCCAGGCCTGCCTCTGTGCTCACCTTATCAGTGACTTCACACCACACCACCTGACTCCCAACACACCCATCTGAGATCATGACCCCAGAGCGGGGACTTCCACCTGACCCAATGCCTGCCCAACAGGCATTTCTTCTCAGAGATCCGGGTCCGTCCTGAGGGCTTTTGGGGCTGGCCATGACCAGACCTCTCTGGGACTCGCGTCCCCACCTCCTGGCCTGCAGGTCCCATCCAGCTGTGGCTCTGACATCTAGGTCTAATGTCCCAGCCTCCCTTCCTTCCCTGGATGATTCTAATTGCACTTGACACACAAGACAAGCCAGGGGGAGGGGAGAAGTGGGGGGCCCGGAGTCTGAGCTGACCCCAAAGGGTCTCTCCGGCCCCAAGTGCCAAGCAGGGGACCTGGACTTTGACCCAAGGGCTGGGGATCCTGGGAACGTTCCAAGCGGGACCGAGCCAGTTGTATGAGCCTTCACTCTGGACTGGGTGGTGGCGAGTCCGAGGAAGCAAGGCTGGACGTGAGGAGGGGTAAGGGGCGGCGGCGCCCCTGGCGTGGAGGAAGCACTTCCTCATTCCAGAGGCTGCGACTCACGGATGTCCGGGCCGGCGCCCGCCCCCCGCGGCTACCCAGCTGAGATCACAGGTCCGGGAAGGCCCAGGGTGCTTGACTAGGTCCCCACAACCCGGCCTTTCTCTTCCGTCCTCCGCCCCGGCCGGCTGAAAGAAGTCCAACGCGGCGGCGGCCGGGGACTGGCCAGGTCCAGGATCTGAGGCGCCTGGGTCCCAGCCTTCCCTGTTCTGGCTGGGAGCCCGCGGTTGAAACCAGGACCGAAGCTCAGGCCGCGGGTTTGCAGGAGCCCGGGGTTCGCCGCTTTGCCAACCTGTATGGGGTGTCAGTTTACCGCTCTGCAAAGTGGGAGCAAGCCAAGGGGAGGAGGAGCCCCCGCGAGAGCACTCACCACCACGGCCGTGACCGGCTGGCCCGGGATGTAGGACATCTCGACCGCAATCTGGCAGCCAAGTCCCGCTCCGCGAAGCCCGCAGTGGAAATCCCGGCGACCGCGCCCTCCGGTTAACAAAGGCCGCCCGGCTCGACCCGCCCCCTCATGAATAGTTAACAAGCCTCCAGCCAATCACCCGTCGGGTCGCTGTTCCACTGTCGGAAGTCCCAGGGGGTGAGTAGTAAAGCGGGGAGGAGGCGGAGCCTGCCTGGGCGCCCCGCGGCGCATGCGCTAGAGGGCGGGCGCGAGGTCTGGACGCGTGCGCAGCCCGGGCCCTCCCAGCAGGCTCTGGGGCAAGATGGCGCCGCGGGGGTCCGCACTGCCGACTGTCTGAGGGGACGCCGAGAGACGGCGACCCTGTTCCAGGTAAGCGGGCGAGCCTGGGCGGGGGGTGCAGACGTGCTGCCGCTCCCCGACCCCCGGGGGCGAGGAGCGGCGTGG